GAGTCAGCGACGAGATTATCTTAGCGCTGAAGGAGAAAGATTCGGATGAAATGGCATTCAGTGCCGATTTACAGAGGCAGTCAGCCCCAACCATTTTGGCAGGCAAAATGCCTTTTGTTCTTGCAGCTACGTAAATGTTAACAAATCAGACTTTAGTATTCAGAGAAAATGGAGGTTTCCCCTAGCATGATATCACGCAATGTGAGTGAACCTTATCAAAAGGGAAACAATATCCCATCCCAGGGGGGAAACCGAGTTTGCACTAATTCTGCACCAATACATATACCATTACACTACTGATAGATAGATAGATAGATAGATAGATAGATAGTGTTTTAGCTCTTACCCTTGTTTCAGTGGTGAATTATCCACCCATTTCAAAACACCCTCATTCTCTGTGTCAGACAAACCAATCCACACACTCTGCTTGATGAATGAAGATATGAACCTCTGTGTGTGTATAAAACAGGAATAAGTGTGATTGCTCTCATTCATTAACAGACACTCACACAAACTCACCTGCTTCTCTTCAGTGTTGATAATGACCAGATCACCACCATGATCCCTGCAGTACTGTCTGCTGTCAGACCAGCTCTTCTCCTCATCGGATATATAAAACTCATCTGGACCCCACAGACTGGCTAAGAGAAGCACACCTCATATATATATATATATACAGTCAAACCAAAATTTATGCAGACACCTTTTACATTTCACACAATATCAGTTTATTCGCTATAGTTTAGAAAATGGTAAAAAAATAACCAGTTAAACTTTGTCAGAACAAATTCATCTTGATAATGTCAGATGACACTTAAGCAAGTGTCTGAATAATTTTTGGTTCCAATTTTTTTTAATACATTTTACTGGTAGTCCACTGTATGAAGAATTTTTTGGTATAATATGTCACAGTTTACTTTATTTTGCTTTCCTCACTTACATAAAGGAACTATAGTGTTCTGCACCCACTAGTAAAAAAAAAAATCAAAAATTATATCTGGTGTCTGAATAATTTTTGGTTTGACTCTCTCTCTCTCTCTCTCTCTATATATATATAATGGTAATGGTCACCCTAATTATTATGAGATGCTAAGTTATTGTTACAAGATTGTTTCTCAAAGTCAAAGTCAAAATTATGAGAAAGTTTATCATTATTTATACTTACAGAATCATATTTTTTTTACTCAGCTGTGGCAGCTTCCGTAGATTTGTACTAACCTCCTTCAGATGATTCTTTCCTCAGTTCCTCACTCAGAGACCTGACTTTGCTTTCTAACTGCAGTTTTTTCTGATTCAAAGAGTCAAAATCTCTCTGTAACTGGCTTTTCTCAGCAATGAGATTGTTGACTCTGGTCTCCAGCTCCATGTTCTTGTGACTACAAGAGTTGAAGTTGTTCTGCAGTTGGTGTTTTTCAGTCATCAGATCAGTGTAACTGGCCTGTAAGCTGTTGATGGTTTGATTGAACTCTTCAGCTGTGTTCTTGTAACTCTTTATCAGGTCTCTCTCTGCTGTGATGGTGATGTGCTTCAGTATGATGAAGACCAGCAGAAGAACACAAATGAGCCCGAGACCCACTGTGATCAACACCAAACATCTACTTCCTCCTGACAAACACCACCAAAACACACAAATAGCAATAACAATTTACTACATATTATTTAGGTATAATGTTTCAAATCAACCTTAAGTAATTTATCTTGGTTGGTAGATAAATGATAAGGCTTTTGAAAGAGTATGTTCTTTTATAATGACAAACATCTGGAATTAACGTAAACGTAAAACATACTGTATACAGTAAAATAAATACGCAAACAAGAATATATGCTGAAAATGTAAACAGAAAATAATGGTTTCTAAGAAAATAATGATTGATTTTTTTTAAAACATTTCTCATCCCCTCAAACATTAGCGATACCATCTGCGACACCGCCTTTGCTTCAAACTAACCTTTCTGCTTACTTTGCTTTCGAGCTTTTCCTTCATCCTTGCAGCGACTCTGTGTTCGAGGTCCAGATCTGTTATTAATATTTCTGCATACATAAAAGGTCCCTGATTCCATTATTTGCTCTTACTTACAGTAGAGTACAGTATGTGTGCACAGATGAGGTGTGATCTTTATAATGTGTACCGTGTTTTTAAATAGTGCAAACCCTACACAGGAAGTGGTTTCATTAGTTTAGACTCAGAAAAATCTAGACTTTCATTCTCATTCTAAAACTCTCTGTAAACTCATATCACTGTATGATTGAATATATATTGCATATTCAACCTTATGTTGTCAAAGAATATGGAGTTTTTCCCATGATCTTGTTAGCAGCTACAATATCCAACAAGAGGAATCTGTGACCTTCACAGTGGACTCCAACACCCTGAAACAGGCCTAACTTGGCCTTTGTATTGATGACAAGTGACTGGAACTGGAATTAATATGAAAATTAATAATGTTTTAATCTGCACCACTGTGGCATTAAGAGACAGAGAGGATGATGGTAGAAAATAGAGATTGTGGGATGATGACTTCCTGTTTACAGCTACTAAACACCAGTGAGTGACAACAGGATATATTCATTTTCTCAGCAGGTGTCACTGTTCTGCCATTTTTAACTAAGATGGTATAAATGAATAACTTGGAGTTGAATTTGAATGACAGAAGATCAGCAGATCCTAATTTAAGGCCAAGAAACTCTAAACAAATATGTTACTGGCATTTCTCAACAATTATAGTCATTGAATCTGGTCTCCAACTAAAGTTTCTTCAGACTTAAAGAGTTGAAGTTGCTCTGCAGCTGATATTTTTCAGTAGTTTGATCACTGTAACTGGTCTGCATCCCGGTGCTGTGTTTGTAAAGATGGAGGGGTAGCCTATATGCGGTCAGTGTTTTGTTGATGTTTTCATTTTTGTGACAAACGTCGTTGCCTGTGTGAACAGCGCATTTTTGTATTTACCGGTAAAGTCGTTCTGGTAATTTTACGGCAATTTACTGGTATTACTGTCTGAAAGCGGCTCTTCTCAAACCGGTAAATTGCCGTTACGAATTTACCGGAAGTTTTGCAAAGGTCCTGTTCACACGTGATCTCTTAACGGTAATTTACTGGTAATTTACCAGTAAACTCTGTATGTGTGAAAGGGGCTGTCGGTCTGCCAGCGTTGCCGTGGCTGGGCCTCTGTCGGTACAGCAATGGCAAGCCGATGGTCGGTCCGGTGTTTCTACTGAGCACTGACAAGACATCTTTATTTTATATATATATTTTTTTAAATTTATTTTTACAGTGAAAAGGAATCTGAAACACTGAATAATAATAGTGAGATTTTGGTTAATTCAGCACCCCGATTTAGTAATTTCTCTCGAATTTCTGGGGAATAAATGCCAAAAACCACATGGTCTCTCACCATCTACTCTCGGTTCGTGTAACCACAGTCTTTAACAAGCAATCTGAGCTCACAGCTCAGTGATGAATTGATCAAATGTTTCCGTGGCACACTGCATTTTCTCATTGAACTGGCAAAAATTGGATTAGCCTTTGGGACTACGTATAAGCTTCAAGCAGCGAGTTTTGAGCAACTTAGCTTCGTCCGCGGTGAGATTGCATGTGTTATCAATATCCCTTTCTTTCTCTTCGACACATAAGAGCAAGTAGCTGCATTTCTCCAAGCCATTCTTACTCCCAAGGCATCAGAAACTGCAGTATGGTCAAGCGCCTTTAGCATCACCAACGTGTGACACACGTAAACTGATGGCAAATATCGCGATGTGTGCTAAATGAGACTTCTTGCGACAAACTTCCCATGTCCTTTGCGTCTGTGTATCGACACCCAAAGTTTCCTATTGAAAGCAATGTAGGTCCCAGTTCGTTGATATAGTGATGGCGAAGGGGTTCCTTTGGCGTCTTCATAGTGACGCTAAAGGCGCTTGACTATTCTGCAGTTTTTGACGCCTTGGGAGTGAGAATGGGTTGATTTCTCTGCCTCTTCTTTGTAGCCCCGAAAACATCAATTCAATGTGCTGCTTAAACTTTTTCCATGTATCGGGAAGATTCTGTGATTCCCAGTCCATTCGCAGTGCAGACACTCCGGCAGCATCCATATTTGCGATTCACTCTGACACCATGTATTATTTTGACAAAAGACAACTAAATCTTATTCTGCTGGATCATGAAAACACTACTTTTATTACACTTCTGCATTCACATATCAACTTGACTTAGGCCTACTCTTTCTCTCACTGCTCCCTAGAGCCTATATGCAAGAACTGCTTAACATATACAACACTCATTATAAATCTATATTCAGCTTGAATATTACAAGATGCTTTTGATGGAGAAAAACATGTACACATCAGAGGTTTGGTCTCCCAGATCACCCTAATTCACCTCATGAGAAACAGAAAACGATTAAAGCAATAAGAAGATAATCACAATTTCGCAATTTCCTTCTAAAAATTCACTGACAGCTTTTTTAAAAGGTAGGGACTCACTTTTAAATGCATTCACAATAAGAATTATTACATTAGATAACAAAAGAAAAACTACAAAAATGTGGGATGAACCCTATTTCTCACAAAACCCTTTTTTCTCCTGTGAGCATGGCAGATCATTCCAGTTGTTCAGGACGGGATTTGAAGGTATCAGTTCAATACAGTCCTCATCTCCGCCTTGGTTATTCGGCTCACCATTAAGCCAAAACCTGAATAACATGTATCAGATGTTCAGTTTTCCAGGACCAAAAATGTATGAATCAACAATACTCACAGTATAACAGCACTTTTCAAGTATAAACTAAAGTATTACAGAAGCTGGAGCAGAAGTGAAAGTGCAGAACAGTAAACAAGAGAAGAAGAGTTTTCTTAATACAGTTTTAAAAGTGTCTTTAGTTGTGGTTGTGGTGCTTGTGGAAGAGATTTGTCTTCAGCTGTTTTCTGAAGGTTGCGATGGCCTCATTTTTATAATGAGAATCAAAAAGACTAAAACAAATGAACACACGGTGATTTTTAGCTCTTACCCTTGATTCAGTGGTGAATTATCCACCCATTTCATGATGCCCTCGTTCTCTGTGTCAGACAAACCAATCCACCCTCTCTCACTGACTAATGAAGATATGAACCTCTGTGTGAATAAAAACAGGAATAAGTGTGATTCTCTCATTCATTAACAGACACTCACACAAACTCACCTGCTTCTCTTCAGTGTTGATAATGAGCAGATCAGCACCACGATCCCTGCAGTACTGTCTGCTGTCAGACCAGCTCTTCAACTCAGAGGACACGAAAAAACAAACTGGGCCCTTCTTATTCAAAGAGTCAAAATCTCTCTGTAACTGGTCTTTCTCATCAGTGAGATCTTTGACTCTGGTCTCTAACTGGCTTATCTCAGCAATGAGATCGACTCTGGTCTTCTGACTCAAAGAGCTGAAGATGTCCTGCTGTTGGAGTTTTTCAATCATTAGATCAGTGTAATTGTCCTGTAAGCTGTTGATGGTTTGCTTGAACTCTTCAAACATGTTCTTGTAAATCGTTATCAGGTCTCTCTCTGTTCTGATGGTGATGTGCTGCAGTATGTTGTTGATCAGCAGAAGAACACAAATCACCTGGAAACACACTGTGATCAACACCAAACATCTACTTCCTCCTGACAAACAGGAACAAAACACACACATATTAATTAATGAAAATTCACTCTCTGTTATTAGATACTTATTATTATGATTGTTAACATTTCAAATTGACCTTTCTAAGTAACTGACAGTGCACTTTAAAAGTTTGCTCTATTATGACAAAGCTTCTAGAAATGCTATACAGTAAAATGTGCAACCAAGAAAAAAATATTCTGTTAATACTTTTAATATAAAAGCAGAAACAGACACATTGTTCCTTGAAAACAGTTCTTTTGTCCAACAATTTTCAGTTTCTCAAACATTAGCACCACTATCTCTGCTTCAAAATAACTTTCTGCTTACTGTATTTTCGAGCGTTTCCATCAGTTTGGTGGCGACTCTGTGTTCGAGGTCCAGATCTGTTATTAACATTTCTGTGTACATAAATGTTCTCAGATTCCATTAGTTTTCGTATGTCTTGCAGTATGTGTCCACAGATGAGCTGTGGTCTCTCAGAAAGTGTACCTTGTTTTTTAAAATAGTGCTAAACTTACTCAGGAAGTGGTTTCATTATCAGACACAGGAAAATCTAGACTTTCCCCCCATGTTTAAACTCTCTGTAGACTCACACTATGGTTTAATGTATATTGCACATTCATGTAGACAATGCAGATTTTTTTTCAATTAATTTTATTTTTTGAAGAATTCTGCTTGCCACATGTGAGAACCACTACAGCTGAATGAAAATTAATGTGACAAATCACAAAAGAACCAATAAACTATTTCGGAAAAATATGAGAAACATGTTATTTATTACAGAAATAGGAAAACAATAGACAAAAAAATATAAAAATAGCCAAATAATATAAAAAATAATATAAAATTAAGAAAATAAAAATAAAATATTAAAAATACATTTTAAAAAATAAGTTAAAAAATGAAATGAGTTATTAATATATTATGAAATTAGTTTTGTTGACAGGAACCTTCACCAGAAATGATTAAATAAAATTGATTAAGCTGAAATATCAATGCATTACTAAATATCATGAAGATGAAGAATTGGACGCTGATTCTCACAGATCCATTTTCTTGTTGCTGAGCATGGGATATCATTCCAGTTGTTCAGGACAGATTTTGCAGGATTCAGTTCAATACAGTTTTCATTTCCACCTGCGTCATTCGGCTCATTACTTTCCCAAAACCTGAATTACATACAAGCAGTTTCAGTTCCTGAACAGATACAGCACTCACTCACTCACTCACTCACTCACTCTTGTATATAAAAAACAATCTTTTTAAAAACAAATGCAAAAGATACCCAGTGGTTTTATTAGTGTTCATAACTTTTCACACTGCGTTTAACCCCGGCGCCCACCAAACACAGAACAATGCCTCAAAGTAGCCAACCTTTTAACAACGTTGTACCAGCCTTGCTAAAAGGATGATGGTTCTACATTGTGTCATGAAGGTTGTTACTGTGTTGTCACAATGTTGCCATTTAACCACCGTTCAGGGCCGTTGCTTAAGCTTGTGCTTAGGCTGTCTGGACAACCACTGTACGACATGTACTCGTCACTGTCCTGAAGCGCGAATATCAGCCTTTTAAGTTTCAACCGAATGTTGGGTCGCGTCTCATTCTTCATGGAGCGAGGATACGTGCTAGCTATATTTCTTTCAGTGTTCAGATATCTATATTGATATTTATGGGTACACTTTAAAGATCTTGTGCTCAGGTGACAAGCACTTTTAACATTATGCTCAAAAGTTAGGCATAATGAAGTTACACTTATGAATGGTTGACATTTCAGCACTTCATGAACAGATAGTGAATTAAGTGCTTCATGAATGATTAACATTCATGAAGTCAATTTTTTGGGGAAACACACGTAGAAAATAAACAAATGTTTGTAACCTTGCACACAGAAAACCATCTTAAGAACTAAATCCATTGGGAAACGTGCTACAGAAGCTGCATACTACACTACAGAAGCTGTTCATCAACGAGATTTGTCCCGGTGCTCCTGATGGCCAATCCTGGATGGCCTGTGGAGCGATCATACAGTAGGCCTAGGCTATGTTATGCACTCTACATAATGATGTAAAAACAAAGTTTTGTGAAGTGATAATAATGTGAGGCCTAATAACTTTGAAAATGTAACCATGATTTTTAAACATAGCCTACTTGTTTGTTTGTTTGCTTTTTTTTTTTGCCTCAGGATGGTCAGTTAGTGGCAATGGAAGCATGCCAGATATTGGAAGACAAAATTGTAAGTAGCTCATACATTCATATTCCAAACTGCTTGTCCTATGGGGTTGCAGGAGCCTGTCCCAGGCAGGGAAACATCCTGGATGGATGGCCAGTCCATCACAGGACTACACTGTTCAATTCACCTGTACTGCATGTCTTTGGGGACCTTCTCGCAATTACCTAGTCAGCCTCTGTGTCAGCTATTGTGAGTATATGTACACATATAAAAGTTTGGAGTCAGTAAGATTTTTCATGGTTTTTAAAATAGGTCTCTTATGCTCAAAAAAGGCTAATATTGTGTAAAATAAAAACAGTAATATTGTGAAAAAAATATTACAATTTAAAGTAACAGTTTTCTATTTTAATATACTTTAAATAGTTCATTCCTGTGATGGCAAAGCTGAATCATGATCAGCCATTAGTCTTCACTCTCACATGATCCTTCAGAAATCATTCTAATATGCTGATTTATTATCAATGTTGGAAACAGTTGAGCTTTCTTTCTTTCAAAAATACATGAATAGGCATTAAAAATAGTTTTATTCTTACATTTATAATGATTCTTATAATAATGTATAATTCAGGAAAAGCTTATACAGTCGCAATATAGGCTATAATATGAGGATGTGCAATGCTAGAGCTTTTACATAAACAGGTCGCGTGCCATTGTTTGTAAATATCAAATAAGAGCGTTAACCTGGGGTTTAGGAATGTACAGTGTGAAATGTCATCACAAAATTAATTAATAAGCCGGGTAAATGACGAGCAGTGTAAAAAGTGTTAACCCGGGGTTTAGAATGACCCTATTTTTAAGTGTGAAAAGCTCTTATCACTTACCCTTGTTTCAGTGGTGAATTATCCACCCATTTCATGTTGCCCTCCTGCTGTCTGTCAGACAAACCAATCCACACTCTCTCTTTGAATAAAGAATATACGAGCCTCTGTGTGTGTTTAAAATAAGAAAAGAGTGAGAATCTCCATTACATTGAACTCTGTGTTTGTCATCTGTCAGTCAACTAAAACTAATCCCAGATGGTTACTAGTGATAATAATGGGTATTCAACAGGAAGAAAAAATGAAACATATAAAAGACATGTTTGTTTTCATATTACTGTAGCACTGACTTTTAAAGCAGTGTTAAAAATTATAAATGTGAGACTGTGGCGACTTTTTTAATTACTTGTTTGTATGTGTGATGAAATCTATGTTAATTCAGAAATGCCTTGAACTAGTTGCATTTCACCTGCTTCTCTTCAGTGTTGATAATGACCAGATCAGCACCACGATCCCTGCAGTACTGTCTGCTGTCAGACCAGCTCTTCAACTCAGTGGACATGAAAAGCATGCCATTTCCTTTCAATAAACAAATACAACAAACACATATAATTTTACTGATTAAAGTGCAATACATATAAATTGATTTGTACAAACCTCGTTCAGATACATTTCTTAGTTCAGTCTCTAACTCCAGGTTCTTCTGACTCAAAGTGTTGAAGTTGTTCTGCAGTTGGTGTTTTTCAATCATTAGATCAGTGTAACTGTCCTGTAAGCTGTTGATGGTTTGATTGAACTCTTCAGCTGTGTTCTTGTAACTCTTTATCAGGTCTCTCTCTGCTGTGATGGTGATGTGCTGCAGTATGATGAAGACCAGCAGAAGAACACAAATGAGCCCGAGACCCACTGTGATCAACACCAAACATCTACTTCCTCCTGACAAACACCACCAAAACACACAAATAGCAATTAATAACAATTCATATTATTAGAAATTAAGTTTCAAATTAGCCTTTTTATGTAATCTAATTTACTACATTACTATACCATAAATTATAAAAAATATCCAAAGAACATGTGGAAAAAGTAAATAAAACAAGTTAATTAATACATTAATTATGAAAGCAAAAACACTTTCATATTGTTCTTAGAAAAAAATATTTTAAATCATATGTGAAGGTTCTCATTTCCTCATTCGTGACACCATTAACAACATTGTTTGTGACACCATTTCTGCTTTCAAGTAATTTTCTTCTTACTGCGCTTAAGATCTTTTCCTTCATCCTGGCTGTGACTCTGAGTTTGAGGTCCAGTTGTGTTCTCAGTATCTCTGCGTTCAACATTTTCATAAATGGCCTCTAAATCCATCTTCCACTGTGCCTGATAATACGTCTTCACAGATGAGGTGTGGTCCTCAGAATGAGTATTGTTAAAATTCTGCTAACCCTAAAGAGGAAGTGGTTTCATTTCACACTGGCCTTCAGCAAGAATAATGACTTTAAGTCCAACTTAAAAACTCTCTGCAGAGCTGTACTACTGTTTCTGTATTGAGCTCATGTTATCAGCTTCAAAAGCCAACAAGAGGAGTCTGTAAACACTCAAACGGACTCAAATAGCCTTAAACGGGAAACGCAGCAGCAAGTGCACTGGGTGCAGCTCACTACTCAAACTGATGCTTCCTCGTTTCCTCACATCTCTGTCCTCCAGCCTGTGACCCATTAAATGGATCAGATTAAGCCATCTTGAAGGACAGTTCAATTCTCTAATCTCTAATCATCTCTGCGTTAAACTTAACATTTTGCTTACTGCACTTTCATGTTTTTCATTTATCCTGTGTACGACTCTGTATTTGAGGTCCTGTTGTGTGATTAATTTTCCTGTGCTGAAAATAAAAGGTCCCTGATTCCATTATTTGCTCGTACTTACAGTACAGTATGTGTGATCTTTATAATGTGTACTGCACTGTAAAACCAAACAGTGAAATTAATTAAATGAAATAAGCTCATTTTACTCAAATAATAATGAAAGTTCATTGGACTTACAGTATGTGTGATCTTTATAATGTGTACTGCACTGTAAAACCAAACAGTGAAATTAATTAAATGAAATAAGCTAATTTTACTCAAATAATAATGAAAGTTCATTGGACTTAAAGACTATAGAATACCCATGAAGTGTCACTCGTATAGTTTTGAATGGGGAAAAATGCAATGCTCAATATGGCCGCTCAATCGCAGGAAGCACCGCCTTCTGAATGAAAGAGCCAATCGCTAATCGATAAAGTCAGCGCATCACTGCAGCTGCCGTTAGAAGTAGAGACCTGCACCCAATGCAACTGGGTGCGGCGCAGGACAACTCTTGATGGGCGAGTGAGGGTGCGGGTGGGATGCGGGAGAATAAAATGATTCGCGAGACTCCCGCAAAATAGAAATGATCTAAACATAAAGTGTCTAAAACATATAAATTGTTATTTATCTGTTGCACAAAAGCAAAAAGAACAACTAATATTAACATTAAAATGATTGACATGCACAAGCTAGGCATAGTTTCTATTTATAACACGTGTTTAAAGGGTTGCGCAATGTAGAGGTGATTAAGTTAGAATCTACTCACACGAAGCGTAGACACTGTGAAAGATTCATTGTGCATACATTTATTGTGTTATAACAAAGCTTTATGAGATCGCGATTAACTGAGATGTCAGCTTTTAGTGATAATAATGGAAGCGCTGCTCACATTCTGCCATGCCAAACCATGCACGCGCATGCTTGCTTTTCTGTTAAAAATAAAAAAAAATGGTTTGTGAATGTTGATGCTTAGCCTAAATAACAAATATTTTATCGGGAGTGTTTATGCTGGGATGTTGTGGAGCTTAGGAGATGTTACAGAACCATTTCATGTAAATTTCTTCGATGTACTGAAAAAAATCTATATAGATTACTTTTATGCGGGCTTTTGCGGGGGTGGTGGGGGGTTTTGGGGGAGCAGGACCAGATAAGATATATTTCTGCGGGAGCGGGCGGGCGCGGGACAGAATCTTGCGGGAGCGGGACTGAAAAATCCATCCCGCATTTCTCTAGTTAGAACAGTCAGCGTTCCGAGACGTGCTCTTAGGACTGCGCATGCACACTGGCTGATCTAGCCCCAAAAAATTGGCTTTGTATAACGCTATTTGAGCAAAAGAAACAACTTGTATGATACTGTTGTTGTCAGATTTCTCTGATGATTTCAAATATGAAATCCAATCGTAAGTTTAGTGAACAGTTTTGGAGAATTTCATGCTTCCCCATTCAAAGACATAGGAGTTGCACTTGCATGCCCGAGAGGCGTTTCAAAGATGGCCGCCGAGTCACATGACTTGTCTTAAAGGAACTTTGACTTAATTGAAAGTTCTGTGAACTCAAAATGTCGTTGTAGTAAGCTGGACTTAAAATTATTTGAGTTTTTATTTATTTTGAATGAGTTTTATAGTTCCCAGCATGCTTTGCATCAGACTACAATGAAAATAAATGTTGAAATCAAGAGTTATTTTGTGTTTTACCACAAGATTAACATAGGGAGACATAAGTTAGTATTTAATGTTGTGTTAGGATTTACAGAGGTTTCTGTTATGTTGGTTTTGCAGTGTTACCGTTGTGGTGAAGAGTAGAACCTGTATTGGAGTTTAAAATAAACAGCAAAACTTAAATTTATGTATACTGTATGTTGCTTGTCAGTTAATGAGCAATTGTATAATGAGAGTCTTTTTGACAAATACATCAGTATGTGCTAGTGTGCTGTTGCTAATGCTTGATTATAAAAATCTGAGTGACTGTGATGGTTATGTATATAATTATCATTGTGTTGAGTGGGGTGGGATTGAGAGCTATGGAAGCGAGGCTTGGCTTGACTTCCACAGCTCTTAACCCGGCCCCACTTGTCACAAAAATTTTAAGCTCTACCAACTTTAAAAAATTTAGTTCTTTTACTCAAATGTTTTGAGTATTCTCAACTTATCAGGTTTTACTTTGTGTGTTTTTACCCTACACGGGAAGAGGTTTCATTACTTCAGACTCTAGAAATGTAGACCTTCGTTATCATTCTAAAACTCTCTGTAAACTCATATCACTGTATGATTGAATATATATTGCATATTCAACCTCATGTTGTCAAAGAATATGGAGTTTTTCCCATGATCTTGTTAGCAGCTACAATATCCAAGAAGAGGAATCTGTGACCGACAAAATGGACTCAAACCCCCTGAAACAGGCCTAACTGGGCCTTTGTATTGATGACAAGTAACTGGAACTGGAAGGGAATTAATAATAATATTTTTAATCTGCACCACTGTGGCATTAATAGACAGAGAGGATGATGATAGAACATAGAGATTGCGGGATGATGGCTTCCTGTTTACAGCTACTAAACACCAGTGTGTGACAACAGGATATATTCATTTTCTCAGCAGGTGTCACTGTTCTGCCATTTAACTAAGATGGTATAAAAAAAATACCTTGGAGTTCAGATCTGAATGGCAGAAGTTCAGCTGATCCCATTATTTCTAGGAAACTCAAAACAAATCTATTACTGTTATTTCTCAACAATTACAGTCGTTGAATCTGGTCTCCAATATCAGTTTTATCTCAAAGAGTTGAAGTTGCTCTGCAGCTGATATTTTCAGTAGTTTGATCCCCTTACCAAAAAGAAGTATACTTCAAGTTTATTTTATTAAGTATTCTTAAAGTAAAGTTCAAGTATATTTTTAAAGTATACATTATAAGTATACAAATATCAGTGTACTAGTAGTACACTTGTAAGTGATCTATTTCAATACTCCTTGGGACAAAATTGGCCCACTTTCTAGTATATAAAAGTATACTTTTAAGCAGTGGTGGGCCGTCAGGGCCATCAGGGCCTTCTCTGCTGGCCCTATAAAAAATACAATTGTGTGAAAAATGTTTTTATTGGTTATTTAGGTATCATTTTGATTTGTGCAATGTCCACAAAAGTGCCTATGATTAGTTTTGTTGAGGTTAAACTGGAATATCCCACATAAAAAAGTCTGCGGCCAGCGCTACAGATAGTGCTACCCTTTTGTTGAAAGACGTCACATCTGATTTGTAATGAGCATGAGTGACAGAATCATCAGCCAATCGAATTTTGACGTCCAATGACAGCACGCCCTCTGGATCTAGCGGCGTGCCCATTGCTACAGCGTTATTTCCAAGGTATGAAAGTGAAATTCAACAAAAAGAAAATGACAGCCGCAGTCGCCGATGCCTACACCAGATCTTGTTGGTGATCTACTAAAAATGCCTTTTTCAAGGCACTCTCTTTTGCAGACAAAAGAGAAATAACTGAGAAAGGAAGACCTACTACACCCAAACTGGATTCGCTAACAAAGGCCATCAAAATTGTGTGCGCCATTTCAAAGAGTGCAACTATGAGTGGCTAACAACTAGCACCGAGCACAAGTTATCATCAAAAGAAAGAACAGGGTATCTGCTTGTAAACAAAAAAATTTTTTATTCTAGCTTCATGCATTCTTTTTTATAAACACTTGAATGTGGGTAAGTTTCATAAAAAATAAAAAAATAAATAAAAAAATAAACAAACAACATTTTGAACAAAAAGCTGAAAAAAAGGACTATGAATTGGATTTAGAATGGTAATCAAAACGTAGATGGAGTCGATCAACACCCCAAAGCTTGACGGTCATTACCTCTTCATGGCTCGACATTTTATTCCATAACATTACACAGTTTTGATGCTGTTTTATGTCTGATGATCGTGTTAGAATACATGTGGAAGCATCTGTTGTGTTTCGGTTTCTTCTTCGCTTGTGTTTTGGTAATTCTGTACAGAAGATGTGTACTAGCGCCCCCTACCGTATAACAATGAAAACATGGATTCCTGGAGCACAAGTATACCTCAAATATATTTAGACTTTTTTCTAAGTATAAGTCAAGAATACTTAAATGTCATTTTAAATATATTTCTGAGAAGTACGTAAAGCATATTTCTAAGAAGTACATAAAAAGCAGACTGAAAGTATACTTTCCTAATTTTAGTTTAAATGACGTATACTAATGGCACACTTGAATAAACTTCTTTTTCATAAGGGTCATTGTAACAGTCCTGCAGTCTGAAACATAATCTGAGCATGAGAGATCATTTATCATGTCAATACAGTCCTTATTTGTGTCATTCGGCTCACCAATTCATGAATTTACAATACTCACAGTGCTGCATTAGTCAACCTAATGTCAGTAGGTTCTTTCCAACTGATCTGTATACAGTAGATCTTAATCAATGATCAGTGGGCTTTCCTAATGTGGGTCAGTTCACTAAACATCAAGGTATTGCAAGTTCAGAAAACATCATATAGTCCATCAGCTGAAGCTACAGGTCTCTCCAGCTGAGATCCA